TTTTTTTTTTTACTGCACACAGACCTCCAAGCCTTTAATGCCTTGCTGCATGTAATGAAGATTAGATAGACAGTTAGTGATAAAGTGAGTTGGATACTACAATTTGGGTGAATGCTGGACTGGTGACTGCTGCCCTGAGCATGTAAATATGTACAGGTTTGGATGTGCGCACCTGTATGGAGACTGCAGAGATGTACTTCTATTCCTATAGGCAAGTTTACACTTGGAGCAGCGTTTACCAGTATACATCCGCCGCCTATCATTGATTTGTACAGACAGCAGATATAGCTCCCAGGTGCCGAGATGTGGCCAATTTTTGCAATACACAGCCCTCTGTGCCCGTGCATGCCTGACATCATACAAATAAATGGATTGCTTAGGTTTGCCCTCATATTACATGGCTGTGTTAAATGTAAAGGAGATTGTGCCAAGATTGCATAGTCAGACTGTATAGTGTCTGGCCAGCTTAACAGGCTGAGCTGTCCACCACAATTTCACTCATAGAGATGTGGACTAGTCATGGACCTGGGCTTGGTGCAAACCCAGTTTACCTGAGCTCGCTCAAAAGTGTGACACCATTCCCCCCCCCCTCTTCTGGCCTTATAAGTTGCAACATGTGCAATGTCTGCCCCGCAGCTAAAAGTCGCCAAGGGTTGGGAAATGTGGTGGTCCCAGTTTTTGGTGAACTAGGATCACACCAACCCCAGGCTCATAACTAGTTGGACCCAACCATATAACACTGACACGAGTGCTTACTTTGAACAGCTTTTATTCATAAAGCTTAAACCAATATTCTAAAAGAAAATACAAACTGCAGCTGTAACGGCTTAAAGTGAACATGCGCCCAGATCATGCATACTTCAGTATTTCCATATTCCAAACAAGCAGTAAAAGCACTATAACCCCACATATATGGAGGAGGGCCTTAACATTGAGTTCCTGCATATATGCATCACTGAGGTGTAATGCGTGTGTGCTCAATCGTCCCCAGAACTTTGACCGATCTGTCATCAAAACGTCATGGTTAACTTCTGGTGCTCAGGAGCCAGCAGTGCAGACTCCCAATTACTTCATCACTGTACAGCCAATCACAGTGATCACATAAAACACTATCGCAGTATACAATGAGATGCCCCACCTATACCAGAAGCTAATTCCAGTCAGCTAAAGTCAAGCCAATTCCCCAGGCAGTTCCTGTTGCTAGTAGGATGGTAATTAAAGACCTGCCAAAATGAGTTTGCCACGTAGAAGCCTCACGGTGGGAAACCATATTTTACTAGGGCAGGTCCATGTGTGCCTAAAATAGTCACTACGGTAATCTATCTGTTAACTCCGGAGGAAAAAAAAAAGAAATCGGCTAACTAATCGTTTATGAAAAGATCATTTAGTTGCAGCCCTAGAGGGCACCTCCCTGAAATGATGGCAGATAGCAGAGGAGCCAATGCTATTCCCCTGCTATCTGCTGTTTCGGCCACCGCCTCTCTCCCCCCCCCAAAAAAAACCGATACTGCATGGGAATGAATAGCTAGGCTTCTATTGGCCAATTCAAATTGCAATAGAAAGCTGGCTATTGCACCCGCCTACTGCTGCTGTCAATCAGCAGAGGAAGACCTGA